TAGCCTAATGTATCCTGCCTATCCTGTAGCCTACATTACAACCAAATAAAGTCCTACTTGATCTTTAACTGAATGAGCTCAATTAGTAGAGTAGTACACTACGGGCAAGCCTATAGTACGTCTTTTGTGGCACATGAATGTTGTTTCTGAGAGTGAGTGAATTTTTTCTATCTTGATTCCTAGTTGTTCTTAAATTCTCTTACGTGTGGAACTACTCTCTATTGTTATGTAAGGGCACTTAATTCATGAAGGAAAGGTAATGCCATTGACTTCTGTGTTAGAGTAAGTGAGCTAGTTATAAATCATGCATGGTGCTTTTGAGTCAAATTTTGAGGCTAGGATGTTACGGTATTGTACTTAATTTGTTTTAATTATTCTTTGTGTGATGAATTATGAGAGTTGTTGAAACATGTCATGTTCTATATGAAGTATAGTTTGATTGCTCGAGGACGAGCAATGGTTTAAGTATGGGGTGTTGATGGTAGGCTATAATCCCGTATTTTAGTCGCTTATTACACTCTAATTCACTGCACTTCACTTGTTTTGAGCTTTAATTGGTAGTGTTTTGCACTTATTGTGTGTTTTATGCCTTGTAGGAGTGATTCCGAGTGATATAGATGTTGTGGAGCTAATTCGAGCTATTTGGAGCTTTGAAGTCTAAGTAAAAGCCCAAGGGATTAAGTCGAGATCGTGTTTGGGGGTCGAGGACCAAGTCTGAACGTCAAAACGCAAGATTTGAGTTGTACTCTGAGAAATTTGCACTAGTGCGACGCAGGGTGCGAGGCATAGTGCGATGCAGCAGTGAATTTTTTCTGCCTGTTGAATTGTTGAGCTCTCTGGATTTCTCCACTAATGTCCTGCATGGCACGTCGCCCCATGCGGCGCGCCTGTGTAATTTTTACAGAGTAAATATTCTATTTCGGCTAGGAAAATGTATTTTTATCTGGGCCCGACCCTACTTGGTATAAATATATGGAAAGACATTATTTTCTGGAATTTTTGACACATGTTCGACCTAAGGAGACTAAGGAGGAGTGGGAAGAATACGGGCACAAGGATTTCATCATTCCTTCCTCACTCAAGACTCGAGTTTAAATTGAATTTATGTTTTCCTCGACTTTAACTTTATTTGTAATGAATTGCTCCAGATTTATGCAGTAGTTCCTTTTAGGGTTTGATGGATTTGGTGTATTGATGATTGTTTGTGGATTATAACTCTAGTTTTATGTATTGAATCGTTTTTGGATTATTTAATTATTGCATCTATATTCACTTGTTCATGTAACCGAGAGAGGCATAACTTGTTATATCTTTGTATTATATTATTGGTTGAGTTCATTAATTCTTCTTAGTAATCAAAAGAGGCTAGTTGAATCGTTGATTAAACCTAGTTAGGAGGATAATCGAGAGAGGTTCTCCCAAAGACTAATCCATTACGCATTCTTGCATATCTTTACTGAGCTTAAATTGGTTCATCTTGCGAGGTTGAGACTTAATCGAGAGAGGAGTTTCTACTAAACATTTGAACTAATAATCAAGTGGATTCGAGAGACTCACTTGAACGTTAGAAGTGAATTATCTAGAGCTAGATCCCAAATAATTATCTTGCACATATCCCATCAATACCCTATTTTTCTTCCACTGATAACTTTCTTTGCTTATTCCTTGTTTCGATTGTCATTAGTCAATAGCTTTAGACGCTTAGTTAATTTTAGTTAGAAATCATATAAATCTCAATTGTTGATCATCTTGGATAGCAATCAAGCTAGAAACTACGAGAATACTGTTTAAATCCAATCCTTGTGAATACGATATTATACTATACTATATTCGATTAGCGAGCATAATTTAAGTGTGTGTTTTGCACTCGTCACACACCTATTCAACTGATGTACCAACCACTTGTATCTGTTGATATATATAGGTATGACAACCTTGAGCCATAATATATACATAGAAGGGACTACCATCCAAATAGTATCCAACTAAGTTAAAATAAAGAGGACAGTCCGGTTCACAAAGTATCCCGCATTCACGCTGGATTCGAGGAAGGGACGCATCCAAGGGGTGTGATGTAGACAACCTAACCTAATGAAGCATTAGCGGCTGCTTTCACGGTTCGAACCCGTGACCTATAAATCACACGAAGAGAACTTTATCTTTGCTCTAAGACTCCCTTCAACCGAGTTAAAATAAAGGTGTATAAATTGCATGTGATGACAATATTAACTAATACCTATGGAGGGAAAGTTCCATAAGAAAAAAGCAGCAACTTCATAATATATCTAATCACATAAAACCGTTCACTGAACTTTTTTAAGTTACATAGGAGGAACTTAAAAACAGTACACAATAGAATTATGTACTGTTCTGATAATAGCATGAGAAAAAGTATATTAGCAATTTTATACATATTCCTACATTTGAAATGGGGAAGACAGAGATTTGTCATATCTAAGTTTGACTTGAACACTTACCTAACATTATCTTATTGTTCCCACATGCCTATTATACTTCACACTACATTTAAATACAAAGGGCAAAAAAGTGAACTGGCCTGGTTAGATTGAAAACTTTCCAGCCATGGGATATTTTGTCTTATTGTCAAAAAGAATTTGCTGGATATTTTTGCTTAAATCACATGGAGCCCAAGAAAAGTGCAATTTAAGACATGATCACCTAAAAGGACAAGAAACAAGAATAAAACATGGGTCACAATTGTCTGTCATTTCCTTATTATAAACCATTGTCTAGGATTTACAAGTGAGAAACAACTAAAAAGGGAATTAGAGGCAAGGTATGTCCCATCCCCACATTGTTGTGAATCTTAAGTTCCTTTTGTTCCTTCCCTTAATATCAAGAAAAAATGACCCCTCAAAAGAGCCAAGAAACTAGATCTTCCCCACGTAACATGAATAGCAACAAAAAATTCATAATTACAAATATTTTCAAGTTCTAGATCTAACCATTTTGCCAGATCATCATCCAAGATTGCCACAACTGGAAAAAGATCATCACTAACATGTAATACTTGTATTATATAAAGGAAAAGTAAAAAGGTTTTAGAAAGCACAATTGTGATGCACCAACAGGGCTTTGGGAAAATAACAGATGAAAAGACCAAAGAGAATAGAAATAATAAAGAGCGAAAGAAGTTGATTAACCACACAGAGCAAGTGTCAAAATATATAAAAGTAAACGTACAAAAAAATCAAGGAGAGTCAACATATAATGTATATGCGTATAATTTTTTTTTACCTACTTACACATTGTATTTTTATCGTGAAGGGGCGTCAGTTGATACCCCTTACTATAAGGTGGCTCTGCCACTAACAGTCTTGACAATGGAGAAACTCCTGATAGTGTGCTCTCCCTTTTAGTACGCGATGTAAATCAAGATTAGTTGAATCAGTGAGATCTGGATACTAATATCCCGTTTGACCAAGTTGCAAAAATCAGCTTATCTTGAGAAGTACTTTTTCTCAAAAGTACTTTTGGCGAGAAACAGTTTGTGTTTGGCTAATTAATTTAAAAAGCACTTCTGAGCAGTAATTAGTGTTTGGCCAAGCTTTAAAAAACTGGTTTTAAATGTATTTTTCTCAAAAGTATTTTTCTCAAAAGTATTTTTCAAAAAAGTATTTTTGGAGAGAAACTATTTTTTCTGCTTCTCCAAAACTATTTCTGCTTTTCTTCAAAATCACTTTTTTTCCTTTTAAAAGTTTGGCCAAACACCTTAATTTTAGAGGAAAAAAAAAAGCACTTTTGACAAAAAAAAAAAAAAAAAAAAAAAAAAAATTGTTTTTGCCTCAGATTCTATAAATGATTATAAGGAAGAGAGACTAAAAAGATGTTAATTAAAACTTCTATTTGCCCTCTTGGTACAAATCTACACTGCTTGTTGAAAAGACTACTATTAATAGAAGAAAACTCCAGTTGACTTCTTCCAATTTCACAGAAGAAAAGCTGCATTTTTCATTTACTCGCATGCCGTTTGTTTTATTTGACATGACTTACAAAATCAGGCAGTGAAAAATAAATGACGGTTTTCAGGAAGTTCATTTATCCCCTAATTTAAGAACAAAGGGCTATACACTATACATACATTATTCTCACTAGCACATAGGCTGTGCACCTCCTCTGTATTTTGCATTCAAAGTATTACAGCTTCCTATTAATGAATCATGTTCAGAATTCTAAGCAATAAATATTTTTATCTTCTCTTCACCAGTTAAACCTTATGACCCTAAGTGAGAGCAGCCCCAATTCTGTCCTTTCACATTTATTCGAAGGGAAGTTTCCTGCCTTCTTTTTCCTTTATGCATTGTATCCAAAACCTACTAATTGGATTAATTTGAATTCGCACAGTGTGGTCCACCAAAGAGAGCCTTCTCTATTTTCGGGGTTCGAGGCCCAAACGTCCGATTAAAAGTGGAAGGATCTCATCTATCTCATGACACTCTATTGTCTCGTGCCTTTTATAAGACATGTATCTCTATCATATTACGTTCTCTATTTTCAAGGCTCGAGGCGCAAACCTCTAGTTAAAAGTGGAAGGATATCATCCATCTCATGACACTATTGTCTCGTGCCTTTTATAAGACATGTATCTCTATCAAATTTGACAGCTTCTTCCTGTCCCTTTGGTGATATAAAGTCAGGGGGAAATAATGGCTATGTACATGTATCCATGAGGTAAAAATTTAATTCCAGCTATTGAAAAAAAAGGGAGAACAAAAATAAATACAGGGGTTTGGGTTGCTTTCAAAAGTAGTAGTATAAGATTAGGCACGTTCTTTCTGTGTGAGGGAGAGCTGTATTGGTCTGTGCAGATAAAAAGCATATGTTATTAACAGGTGTTTTTCATCTACATTCCTTTGCCTTTTTCAGCAATACCAACTCCACTCTTCTGTCTTTTAGTTCATCTAAATGCAGTACTCTTAATTCTTGTATTTTATCATCCTTTTTATTCACTTTTGAGTGTTCTGCTTTTGGCACTGGAAATGGACTCTTCCAAATTATTTGGAGAAGCAGAAGAATGTAATAGCAGTGAATCAGGTTGGACAATGTATATTGGCTCTCCTTCAAATGGTGAGGTTGAAGATGAGCTGGAAAATGAGGATTTTGATGAATTAGAAGACAATAATAAAGAAGCCATTAATAGCGACGACAAAGAAGATGGTGACACTGATGATTCAATGGATTCTGATGCTTCTTCAGGCCCAAGTCATAGGCAGTATATTACTAAAAATGGAAAGAGTGCTGGTCTAGCCAATATGGTTCATTACAAGAATCCAAAGGAAAAGGGTAAGGATCACAAAGTTTGCAGCTTGAACAACAAAGCCAATAATTCAATGAAAAGTGGTTACAAGAATGAAGTCAAGGAAGAAGAGTCTGTTTTTACTGCAAAAGGAGCACCTTCAAATGGTGGTAATAAGGTTAGGAAAAGTATTTGGATGGGCAAAGGAAAGTAGCAACATTTATAGCTTAATTCTCATTTGGTTTTAATTAGATAGCACTAGTACTATTATGTAGTAGTATATCTTTCTTTCTTCTTTCTTAGTGCATGGAAAAATTATCAGGATGTTTTCAAGTAGAAATAAACACATTCTTTTTATTTTGCTATTGGTTGAGAACAAGATCAAAAACTTATATTCCTTTACTGCAAAGGTTGACTGAGTTGGTTGGATGAGTGATTTTTTACATGGGAGACTTGTGATCGATTCCTCTCACCAGCATCCTTTTCAGTCAGAGCTCGTCGCACGAGGCTTGCCTAGTGCAGTTTATATATTTCATGTGTGGTTTGCGAGCTATTGTGCAATGAACAAGTTACCCAGTGCACCCGAAGGATAGCAGCTTTGGGTTTCTCCGGCAATTTTCCACAAAAAAAGGGTCATCATCAAACACGTATTCAGTTAGCATTTAAGAAGTGGATTAACATTATCACCCACACAACTGAATACGAATTCGAAAGATTCAAATTAAAAGCATAGAACTCAAGTGGTATAATCTCCCCTAGTATTGGAGTAAGCGATTTAATAATATATAGTGCCAATCAAAACAAGCTAATGCACATACGTTTTAAATTTCACTATTACGGCCTAATCTCTGTACTAAAAGAAATTATGTAAGGGTGTGAATCGATGCACATTTATCAAAAGGTCTGTCCTGAACAATTATTAAATTTTTGGCTGTTAGTATACTACAAGCACATATCATGAGATAAACTAAAGTATACATGTCACGAGTCAATTTGATTAATTTTTTGAAGCTAAATCAGTTCACTATTTAAATTCAAATTTATTTTCTAATATAAAATGACGAAAAAATATATTTAAAAATTCTAGTCAAAGTTTATTTGAGTCTTAGGAAGGGAATAATGTAGAGGGAGTATCCATCAACAAATCTAGGTTAGTTGAACCTTGCTCAATCAATATGTGAAACCTATTGATATCAAAACAAGATTTTATCAGTACTTTTCATAAGCATAAACATAAACATGTTTGAAATCACTAGTTGAAATTTTTAGCAATCCAACAGACAAGATCTAGTACTTTTGGGAAGATCTACTTCTTCCCAAAAGTATAAGTATTACATAGGAATATACGTGAAAATCTTAAATCTAGTCAATGGCGCATGCAAAGTAAAAGAAAAGGAAGTCAAAGAAATTTTTTAAAGTGTTTATTCAAGCTATAATACTTGAATGGACAAAGGCGACGGCAACCAAAAAAAAGAAAAATTAAAGCAGCCAATTAATAGACGCAGTGCTAGCTAGCTAACATCACGCATACATGTGAATTGAATGTAAAAGTAAATATAAGGCTTCTCTCAATTCGAGTTACAAAATTTTCCCAACCTGTCAACAGACTGGAAAACGTGATCGTCACTGTCGCACCAAAGGATAAGGTACATATTGACAATCAGAGTCGGATATATAGTGTTACCGGCAGAGACACAGAAGGATGATTTAAAGCTTATGGCTTTCCGACAACAACCTTAACTTAATATGTAATAATAATCGAGTTTGCAGCTAAGTATTTGTACGTATTTAATGAATTTTTAATATATATACATTATATGACTAAAAGTTACTAGGTTGGTTCTCGTAACGTACAAGCTAGATTTGCCTCTTGTTAGGGGTGGACCTCTAATAAGTGGCGAATCTAGAGGCTATAATGTGGGTTCGTGGGGAATCCAATAGTTTTTTCTCATACATTGTACATACATTAAAAAAAATTAAACATCTATAATTATTTGACTGTGAATTCAATTATTAGTTTGATATCGCTGTAGGAATTCATAAACTTCAAATTTTGAATCCGACTCTATCTCTGATTAATCATATTTAGAGTAGAACCTAGATATATAAATCATGGACCTATTTAAAGTTAAATCATGAATTCTCCCCAGACCGGAAACATGATGTTTAATTCGGCTGGCTTTGGCTCTTCTTTTGTTATAAAACATGCCTCTTCCTTTCCTTTTTGATTTATCCTGTTTTGAACGTTCATTAATTAGATGTGAGATACCAAAGTGACATAATGACAGAGAAATTAAGCTGGAAAAAGGTGTTAGACATTGTTTGCTTCTCACATGAATGCTTCATTTGAAACCAACGAGAAAAAGGAAATACATAATTGTAGTGTCTCGGACAACTGTCAATCGGGTCTGTAATAATTCTAATTTAGGGGAAAAGACAGTAACTTCATGCGATAGCAACTCTTAAAGGTATTAAGCATTCTAGTAAAAAGAAAGCGAGAGCTTGCATTAGTGCAGGAAGCAGCAACACTTATTAAAGGATACAGAAAATTGAAGCTGGAAGGTTTAGTGACCGCATTACTCCGACGAGGGGATCCAGAATTTCGAAAGGATTGGTACACTATCATGATATAAATTTAACGAGCTTAACCTTTAGGTTCTTACTATTGCAACCATTACGCTTTTGAAGCTATAGTTTCATGACAATATGCTACACCATGTGATCCACTCCTTGTAATTTAATATACACATTTGGTGTGAATATATAAAATTTTATGGAGACAAAAGGAGAATAGGGTCACTTGGTTTTTTGGCCTTTTACAAATTTATTTTTAGTTTTATGATCCTACCTCTTTTTTTTACACACGGGAGATTTACTTTTATACATAAGAGATCTTTCATTTACAAATAAGAGATCTAAAAAAGATATTTTCTTAAATTCAATATTGTAAAAGGCCAAGAAGACCTAAAATCTCACGAGAATATGTATTTCAATGTGTCGGAATTGAAATTTTGAAAAATTAAACCAAACAAGAAAAGAAAGAAAAGGATAAAAAGTACTTAATAATTAGAATGCAAGAAATGACTCCACACATGCCAATCCCATCGGTGGAAAAATTGAAAAGAAAAACAACAAAATAAACATAAGATTTGAACTTTCAACTCACGTAAAGAGGTACCTGCGATAATCATTGCATCATATAATATTTTGAGCTTGGATGCATACATATATATTTCAACAATATAGTATTAATAAACATGGTCTAGGGAGGGGCCTTGGATTTACGTGCCCCCAGGAATCCCGCTAGATATGCGCCTCTTCATGGGACAGACCTCAATTGTTCATCGAAATTAATTATCTCATCGGATATTTACTACCTTATATCAACATATGTACCAGTTAAATAATTTACCCAGTAATACTTTAACAATAAAAAAAATAACCTAACTTAAAATATTCTTAAATTTTTTGTCCACAAATTCAAAAAAAACAATTTATATTTTGCGAATTTAAACCATTTCTTAAAGTTTATAAATAAATCTGAACGATTGAGTCAAATGAATTTTATTTTTTATATTCAATAAGTGTTGCACGACCGAATAAAGTCCAACGTTGACCATTTTATTTTTTTTGTAAAAAACTCACGTGTTGGAAAGCTTTTATCACTAATTAATAAGACCAATGTAGCTCATTTTTGTAGCGTAAAGAGTAAAATTGATTCCAAATATTAAAGTAGGACTAGTATTTGTCACGACCCAAAATACAACTAGTCGTGATGGCACCTAACTCAACCCGCTAGGTAAACCAACTTTCAATTTTCAATTCCGATAGCAATTATTGGAGCAATTTAACTAAATAAAGATCTTAATCATGTATATTCCCCAAGAACTGGTAGTACAAATCATGAGCTTCTAAGAATAGAGTTTACAAAGCGGAAATAAAATAAATACATAGTCTGTTTGAATAATGCATAAACAGAGCTTTTATAAATCTAAGGCCACCCTGAACAAGAGGCAGCTACAACAGGAACGCAGGTACATCTTCAAGTCCCGCAACCATCGAGCACAGCAACAACATCAGGCAACATCTGCACGCAATGTGCAGAAGTGTAGTATCAGTACAACCGATCCCATGTACTGAGTAAGTAACAAACCTAGTCGTAGGTTAAAAGTAGTGAGGAGCTTCTACCAAGGTCGGGTCCATAACCAATAGTCCACAACAATCCATAACTACATAAAGTAAATAATACCAGAAGTAACTCAGAGATAAAATGCTCGGCCAAATCATGATTTCAAAAATAATAGTTCTTCCTTTCAAATACATCAGTGAAAACCCAAATCGTTTACCGAAGTTGTCGAAAATATGAATAAGTTTGAAAATAATAATTTTTTTCAAAAAACTTTTCAATAATAAATGAGATGTTTCATTTTTTTTTCTTCTAGATAACCCGTATAAAAACAAATGCATCACTATGCCCATCTGTCAAAAATGTGTGAAAATCATGAATGATGTAATGCAGTACAGCATGAGGAAAAATACATCTCTATGCTTGTATGTTATGTGTGCATGCCAATGCGATGCAACTCAATGATAAAATCATAAACAACCCCTCGGTCATACCTCACAATCACTCATGTACAGCCCCTCGGGCATACCTCACAATCACTCGTAAACAACCCCTCGGGCATACCTCACAATCACTCGTAAACAGCCCTCGGGCATACCTCACCATCTCCCATGCCTCCCAATCACTCAGCACTCGGCACTCGCACTCAGTAGGTACTTGCGCTCACTGGGGTGTGTGTACAGACTCCGGAGGGGCTCCTTCAGCCCAAACGCTATAATCTGCACGGACAACTCACGTGTTGTACGGACAACTCACGTGCTATAATAATAAAGTATATAAAGAATGTTGCAGGCGGGCAGCCCCGATCCACCTAATAATCCTCACAATCAGGTACTCGTCCTCACACGGTCATCAATCTCTCCAGTATCTCGGGCTCATAATATCATGAAATAGCCCAAAAATAATGATATGATGTATCAATAAATAACAACAGAGACTGAGCTATGATATGCAATGAAATGAATATGACTGAGTATAAATTTTTAATTTAAAACAAATAATTCACAACAATATGACCTTCGTGAGTCCCAATAATACTGGCACATAGCCTCAACATGATTTTTAATATGTTTTTCATCTCAATTTCT